TCCACATGCAGGAAGGCATGGATGACATTTCCTGGTCAGTTGCCAAGTTGTGTTTTTGCCGTGGGAGACCATGTGTCTCATGAAAGGAGGAGAAGGAGGAGGAGGAGGAGGGGGAGGAGGAGAGCTGCCTAGGCAGAGTGGTTGACCAACAACTGGCAGAATAAATCACACATGTCCCTCTCTCTCTCTCCTCTCTGAGCTGGAGAAGTCGGTCACATGACCAAGGCAGTAGATCGGCGCTCTGTTCCTATAGGCATGGATTTACCATGAACTCTAATGTAGAGAAACTCTAGATGACATTTTGCAGTTATGGCTCTTTACAAGGCTCTTACACACAAGAAAATCCCAAATCTATCTGTGAACAACAATAATGAGTCAGCTGACACCGGGTATTTTTTGAATATCAACACCATTATGTATATGGTGACACAGAGAAGTAGAGGCTACAGATTAGCTCCATCGAAATTCCTTCTCAGATCAGGTACATTTGGATTGATAGAGGTAGATTTACTCTAAATAGGTTTCTCTGGCCACATCACTTTCATTTCCGACAGTTTCTGTGTACCTGACCACATCCCAGTATGACCCTGTCCGTTTCTTCCCTGTCAGTGAGCTCTCTGACCTGACAGATACAGGTGATGGCAAACTGTCACCCAGAATTATTCGACTGAAACCATCATCTCCTTGTTTGTTTTCCTCTAACTGCAGTGTCAAACACTGTAAAGCAAAGATGTGTAAAAAAAAAAAAAAAAAAAAAAATTCAAAATGACAGTGTTATTGAAACACTTTACACACATATGCAAATTAACACTAATGGAAGCCTTGAATCCTGTGTGTAAACTGTTTAGTTTTCAAACCACAAAAAGGTTTTTGAGCTTTTCAGCTGCCAACTGTTTCTGCAGTGTGAAATGACTGGTTAAAAACATCTAGTTTTCTTTTTTACATATCTTGTAATATGTTTTGTTATATTATAAAGATAACCAGGGGCACCATAGTGTTTGCTTACAGTTATATGGACTTAGCTAATAGCCTGTACCTGTTGTTAATTGTTTTTGTTTTTCCCTCTTGGCTGCTGCAAAGTTTTTAAGAAATTATCAGTACCTGTATTGCATGTCTGGCTTCACTGTTGTAAGATTTCTAACATGCGAGCCTTCTCCTGTCAACACTGTAAACAAATTTCTGCATTGCTCAGCAAGAAAATGCAATTATGATTTTTGGTAAAAGGAATCAAGCAGGCAAATTGATGGCTTGCTGAAGGCAGTGGGAATGGGTTTGGAACCAGCAGTGCCACGTTTCCAGTAGTGCCTTTCTGATTTTTTTTCTTGCTGAACAGGGCTTCTGTCCACATGTACCAGTAATTTAAGACGTTTATGATTTCAGATAACCACCCAAAAGCCATATCAGCTCTGAGAAACATCACATCATTTTTTTAGAAGAGGTGACACTCAAAATTCAAACCTTATCAGCCAGTAGAAAAATTGCTCTCCATGCTCTTTTCCAACTCCACATAATTTGGTATTCAGGCCTCTACACATTCAAACCTTTGAGCTGCTCAGTCCAGTCACTGGTATGAGGGAGGGCTGAGGAGTACTCATTCACTTTCGTCACTCACATCTCTACAGCAGGCGCAGTGATTCAGACCTGTGACACTGAAATAATAAGCGGGCTTCTTTAACCTCGAGGCCACTGTCCCCATGTATCCCAGGTTGAGGAGGAGAGGTGGTGTCGCTGCCTAGCTGGACAAAGGCAGGAAGGGAGTGAGTCTGAATGAATATTTGCTAACGTTGCGTAATGCTCCATGTTCCCATGGCTGTGGCCTTCGAAGAACAGAGCAACCCCAGGCGTAGCAACGGCAGTACCACAGCCAATCAGCTTCCTGGCTGATGTCAGGGCTGTTGTGCCAAAACCTCAGCACCGGTAGCCCAGGGAAGGACCGGAGAGAAGGCCAGTGGAAAGTTGAGCTGCTTATGAAGCAAGGAGAGGCAGATAACAATGGTTACATTTATCCTCTCAACCACACCGCATCACACTTTCCCCTCTGCTGAGGAGGGAGTACAGCTGCAGCACTATGGGCATGTGGGTAATGTAGGCAGCAGCAGAGGAGAGGGCATAGTAGAAAGTTTTTCACTCAACCCCTCTATGTCTGTGTCAGTCCCCCCTGTTTAACTTTATCTCATTCTTTCTCCCTCACTGTCTTTTTGTCACTTTGTCTCCACTTGTTCGCCCAGCTTTTTTTGCTTTGTAGTCTCCTTGACAGCTGAAGAATTGGAGGTTGATTCAGGTCCTGTGACCTTTGACACCAAGTTTCCATGGCTCTACTCCTGTGTTCCTGCCAGGAACAGCAGTGTTGAGGCTCTCTAAACAGACACTCCAGCTTCAAATCACCAAAATTCCTGCTTTGAGCAGGCACAGCGAGCCTCTCATCCGATGTAGAACTGCTCAGGTTGCAATTTACTTTTGTATCCCAGTGATTGATCCGCCACAATCAAGCAAATGATAGTAGATTTTGACTGTGTCTACTCTAGCCATTCAGAAAAGGTAACAAACTTGTGAAGCCATTATGCACAGACAAAATGGTCATTTGCATGTGTGATTGTTAGGAAAACAAGACCATGCTAATAATAAGGTATGTAAAAACACACACCTTGTGGAGCACCTACACAGCAGTTGGAAACACTCTTGGCAGAAACACAGTGGGCAGGTATGGCCAGGTACTGTTTGGCTAGGACGCTAAGCTACTTGCATCAGCATGCAGTCTTAATCACCAAATCAATAAGTTGATGTCTAAGTTGAGGTGAAATCTGAAATCAGGAAAGTTTTATTTCAAATTGCTCTGTTTTCTATACACTGTAATCAAGCCTGGCTGGAGCACTGATTACTGTGACTAGTCGATTGTGTTGTATATCAACATCCCTGCTTCAGAGTAGTCGTGCCTTGGTGAGAAAAAGCAACTGAAGGCATAAATATCATAAAATGACACACATAGTGTAATACTGCTTTGGACGGTTCTTGGTGAAGAAAGGAATTGAAACCACATAATGTTTTTCCTGTCTTGACACATGCTCTTGCATGCCTGCCATATAATAGAGAAATGATTATTGACAGCCATCTGTGGCATGATTGCCTGTTAAAAATTTAGCAGTCTACATGTTAATACTGGACCAAACTATGATGGCAAACGTTGCAGTAGAGTTGCTTGTTTACATAGGAGCCCCGAACCAGATTTTACATTTGAAGGACAGTATTTATTGTCAGTAGGTTTCCTCACTGCTGTAGTGTCCTTGAGCAAACACTGATTTGTAGCTAAAGGAGTGCTGTTCTAGCACTGACCTCTGACCTCCCTGTAGAAGGGAATATCCCCACCAGGGGCAACACAGGGGGCAAAGATTCTTGAGTTTCATCCTTATCTTATCAACTAGGTTAAATGGCAAGACGTTATCACTGAGTTTTGTTGCCTGATTTTACAAACAAGTTTCCTAATTACAGAGAACGTAATGAGGATGACGTGACCTTTTCCTTTGTTATTGATGAGCACTAATGTTCACACCTAGTAGAGACCATTTTCATTTAAAACAAAAAACATGATCCTAATTATGTTAATTCAATATTTTTTGGCCCTTAACAAGACAGTTTTATTTTGGCATTTTACTACACAAATGAAGTATAATGCTGCAGTCTAATAAATTGCAGCAATCAGCCATTAAAAAAACATGAAGTATTTCAGTGGCTGTGGCCCAAGCATTCAGCAGCAGCCACCAGTAAAACACTAGCAGCCTGTAGCTGGTAAATTAGTCTGCTCTGCAAGTAACCAGTTGCTAAATGCTTTTTTTTGTTTTATTCATGACCAGTTCTGTCAGATACTGGATGCCCAGGATATCCTGGCAGCACCTAGCCTGTGTGTCGACAACCATCATTAGGTCTCACTGGCAAGACAGATGAATGGAGAGACTTACCAGCCTCGTGAATTTCCAGTGCGGTCCATGTTGATATTTTCCAGTGCAACTTCTGGTTACGTTCACAGCAAGGCTTCTATTAGAAGGCTATGAAAACTAACATAGTATGCAACATTTTATATGTAGGAACACTGTCAGACAAAGTTGTTAAAAAGTAGTCAGATAGTGAATGTGTATTTGTAGTGTATTTTTGAAGTAATGCATTCTTTGCATTTATGGGGAAAGTGGCATTTTTCAAATGGAACTGTGGAATTGTTGTAGACAAAACTACAACCTTGAGCAGGTAGCCCCAGTGAACAACATTATATGCTAATTTGTGCAGCCTATTGACATAAATACCTGAGTGGACAAAGCATTAGGACCACTCTTTATGCTGAGTTGGAAATGGCCATTTGGTGTTCTGAAGGCCAAGTGTTGCATCATGACACAAACAGGCCAGGGTCAGTATAGGAGACCCGTAGTTGTTTGTGTGTGTGATAGAGAGTGATTGCCTAAAGCTCTCTCCCAAGGTAAAAGGTCATTTTTAGAGTCAGTGTTTCCCATACGGCTCACACTATTGTTTGAACTTGATGTTCCACAGGAAATGAGTGTGCTATTACATAATTAAACTTTTGCTCTATCCTTAATGCAGAGCGGACAAAATAAGCATCAGACCAATGATTGTAGAAGTTTTTCCTTAAATAAATTAACCCATTCTACAGGACACTAAATATTGAGTCATTTTTCTGCACGTATGATGAAAGGGTCAAAGTGGTGTGTAGACTTTGGCAGCTTTATTCCAACCATGGGAAGGATATAGGGGAAAAAATCATTGCTGCAGTGTGTAAGTGATGATGACACTATACCTGCGGTTACACATACGGTGACACATTCTGCCTTATCTAATGAGATGACATAGAGACGTACAACATGACATTGTGTGATTATGTAGAAACAATCAAGAATACTAACTTATATGTGTTTGGGTTGTGAGGTTTAGTGCTATGGTTGTTTAACAGTTTGTTGTCTGATCCACAGAAAAGGAACTGAACACTAAATGTGTTGTGGAGATGGTGAAGAACCAGACAATCCTCCATCCTGCAGGAGCTAACCTTGGCAAAGCAGACACGAGGTATGTTTTAAGCTTGACTTGAAGGTTCCACAGCAGTGAGTTATTTTTTACATTCCACTCTTTTTTACATACATACAATGTATGACAGGATACATGTAGCACTAAATTAATTAATTGTCAGTCAGTTTTTAGATTTCCAGGTGTGGCATTTCTTTTTGATCCATGCTGTAAGTGATAAGTGCCCCAGAAATTGTACTGTATCCTTTCCCTTATTGATTCTCAAAAAGATTGTCTCTGATTTGTGTGGAATGTTGGAATGATGTAGTTTTTGGCAGGAAGCAGATTAACCAGCTGTCTGCCTTCTAGGGACAGGTGTATTTCAACTGAAATCACTTGTCACTCGTTTCCCTCTCTTAGTGTTTTACTCTGTTTCCATCCTGTTAATCAGCTGCTATTTGTGGGTAACACTGAATTGTACTTGGAGTCTTGAGTCTCTCAACCCCTGTGGAGAAGGAGGCATTAGAACATGTTAACTGTGGATCTATTGGGCAGAACAGGAATGTGTGTGAGCATGCACTCAGTGTGTGTCTGAATGAGGGAATGTTTCAGTAGTGATCACACTCAGCAAACTGCTGCAAATATAACACCAGGACGACAATCTGTGAAAGTAATCACCTCGTCTTTAATGAAAAACCTCTTATGACTAAAGTTTTTTGTTTTAGTTAAAAGCAGCTAGTAGGCCATGCTTGACTTCTGCCCCACCATCTTGGAGGAAGCCAGCTGTGTCGGAATAAAGACTGGAATTGTGACTGGTTGAACTGACTGCAGACTGCCAGATCAGAAGTTGTGAATAATGTTGGCTTCAGTCTGAGGTTCAGGAGCAGACAAGAGCAACAGCAGCATGTGTTTCTGTGTGTGTGTGTGCCTGTGCCTGTGCCTGTGCGTGTGTGCCTGGAGGAAAGACAGCAGCACTGAGACACATGCAGACAGAGACAATTATACATGAAAAGACAGACTCCACTCCGCTCCTCTCTTCCCTCAGTCAGTCCGGTCGTAACTCCCCACTGCCTGGCTTCCTCCCTTTTTCTCAGCTCTTCCGTTTCCGTGGCAACACAGGGGGAGGTTAACTTTGGGTCGCTGTCGGTGACCGTGAAGCCCCTTCCTTGAGTGAGGAGACGATAGATGAGGGGGAAAAACCCTCATTTACTCGGGCATCTGTCGACCATAAACTTTTCCTGGTGACTTTTATGGAGGACTGAACAAGAGCAGAGCTGTAGTGTCGCTCTCTGTGTATGAGTGACAAAGGAGCGAGGAAGCAGCAGGAGGATGGGCTGACTGACTGCTGCCCTCAGTGTGCAGATGCTGTTTTTCATTTTGTTTACATTTACATAGTGTACATTGGAGGATTATCTTTTACTCAGCATTTCACTTGGTTGTTACTAGCTGACAGACTTTTGGAGTGGGTGCATAGAGGAAGTGTGCAGTAAAGTTAGGATATTGCAGGTGCAAGTTGTTTGCTTAAGCTAACTGAGTTACCAGGATGCCCTTTGTTTAAAACTAGGAAGACATATCTACAGAAGATAACGCATAAAAAAGAGAATGCAGCTTCCTGACTAAACCAAACCCTATCTATAGTAAAACGGCTGATCTGCAAAAACTAACTACAGAAGATCTCCACATTAAACTGATCGGCACAATGTGTTTCAAGGATTCTTTGGTTATTAAACCAACAAAACTGACCAGACTTCGTATGTGAAAGAGACAGTATGTGAAAGACAGTAGTCTATTCCTCAATACAGCATTATCCTAACAGAAAAATAGTTACTCAGATTGACTATCTTGTTGTTTTTTGAAACTAACGACATGCCTGATGTGTCAAGAGGAACCTTATGGGAAACCTTCAAGACATACCTCAGGGGTCAAATAATATCTCATACAACCCATGTAAGAAAAAAAGAGAGATTATGACAGTCAGAACCGTTGCAGAAACTTAAGGAGACTGATGATAGCTATGCTAGTTTCCTAGACCCATCACTTTACAAGATACGATTGCAGCTTTATACAGATATTGAACTTTTAACCATGAAAAAATCAAGACAATGTGTTTTTGAATCAGGAGACAAGGCTGGCAAACTCTTGGCTCAGCAGGCCAGAGCCGCCGCAGCGTCCAGGCTTATACCTAGTATTAAATCCTCATCAGGTGATGTTCTTATAGCCCCAATAGCCATTAACAAATTTTTTTTTTTATTTTTACTCTGACTTATGATTTCTCTCAAGCTGACATAGACAATATCCTAGATAAGATAGAGTTCCCTAGAAATGACACATATCCCTGTACTAATAACAAAAAAGTTTTTCACTAAATTAGACAAATCCATATCCGAATTCCTTTCGGGCCAATAAACTGGTGCGCATGAAGAAAAAAGTTCTCCAGCTTCCTAAATCGTTAGGTGGTCGTTCAATATTACTGGGCAGCAAATATTCAAAAGCTTTGACCGGCCTGTCTGGGTCCAAATGAAAGTGTTGTCAGCAAAGATTTCACTGCGATCATGGCTGTGCTCCCAGCTGCCTGTGTCTGTCTCTAACATCAGTTTTAGCCCTGTTATTGCACAGTCTCTAAGAATATGGAGGCAGTTCAGAGAGCAATGTGACCTGCACAGTCCCTCCATGCTTGCCCACATAATTAACAATCACCATTTTATGCCATCTAATATAGACTCTGCATTTCATCTTTGGGTTGACAGGGGCATTACGTCACTTAACGATTTGTACGAGAGGGAAATATTCATGTCCTTTGAAGACTTGTCAACCAAATTTCAGCTGCCAACATCCCACCTTGCTACATAGCCAACGTTAGCATTAACAGCTGTTTACTTATCAGTCTAGATGAAACTTTCTTTATTCCTTTACTCGCCAAGAGCTGTCTCCAATGATGGAAAGCAACATCAGTGTTAACCTCTTGTCTTTATCACTCTTTTCTTGCATGCTAACCTGCTAGCCAGCCCGTCTTGTCACTTTTAGATAGCAACTCACGGTAGCATCCAATCTACCCTGAAGACACTGCTCAGAGGCCGTATTATAACCTCTTGTATTAGAAAGACAATGATGGCTGAAGCTCTTGTGAAGAGACAATCACCACCACCTGTTCCCGGCAAGAAACCACTTTTGGCGGCAGAAAAAACTTACAGATAGCTCCTTTTTAAGAGGAACAACAAGGATGGGAGAGAAGACTGTTGCTATATTTTAAGATTTAAGTCTCAGACATGTACTCAGTCCATAATGTCACAGTATTACATATTAATGATCGATTGCCATTTCCCAGTATTCTCTACTGTTTTAAATGTACTTAAATTCTTTTGTATTTATTGGACTCCACTGCATGTGAAAATGATCTTCATTTCCTGGATTACCAATAACAGAAAGCCCCCATCCTGACCCCTCACTTTCATTTGCTTGCAGTTACTCTTCTTAACTGTATGCATCTGAAAACACAGTGTGGAGCAGAGGCTTGTCTGAAATATCAGCAAGGCAGTGGCTGTCTATACAGTTGAGTTCTAGGAAGGATGTCTGGGGTCGGAAGTCATGTGACCCTACCAAGTAGATGGAGCAAATATTCCTGGACATGTAAAGAGAGGTGACAGAAGAAAGAAAATAGCACATGTGGTGTGATATGTTGAGATAGGTGTGTATTCTCATTTGAGGATAGAATAAAATAATCAGACTGTTGTGAAACAGCATTGAAACTTTTCTGTTCATCTGTTTTGGAAGCTTCACCTGACGTGTATATTCACCCTCGAGTCTCCTAATCTCTGCAGTCAAATATAAGTCTTTCAAAAATGTCTGCACTGCTGCTTTTGTGAGGGTTGTTCCCGAAGCAAAGGATTAGTCTTGTTTAAACGTAAACGAAGGATTTTCTCCTTCTCTTAGGCTGTCAGAAACATCTTTCCATCCAAGTAAATGATAAAAGCCACTGGCGTTGATCTGATATCCACTCACTCAATGATCGACAGCAGCTGGGAAGTAGAACTTCCATTTGTAAGAGTTGTCTGTCTCTGCTGTAGAGCTAACTCCTGGTTAGTAAGTGCACTCAGACAAACTGAGTTATTGCTAGATTATGACTCTGGCTGAATGCCCTAAAGCTAATACATTAGCACCAATCTTTTTTTTTTCAGTTTTGATATACAGTCTCTATTTATTTTAAATAGAAGCTTCAACCACTTTTTCCCCTCCTCCTTTTTGCATTCCTACCAGGAAAGCAAAGCTGAGGAATTATCCACACGGAATTATCCAGGGCAAATAATGGTTAATTACTAGAGCCCGACTGATATTGGATTTTTTTGGGGCTGATTTCGATATTAGGGAGTAAAAAAAATTCCGATAACGATATATCGGCCAATATATATATATATATATAAACACTTTTGAAAAAGATATTTAATGAAAGCAGGATATTTTACAACAATAAGCTTTACTGTCCAAAATGACATTAGTGCACTGAAACGGTAAACTTCACTGGGTATTAAATAAAATAACTATAAAAATAAATAACTATAAATATAACACATAAGAACAAATATATATATATATACAGTTTATTATACAGTTTATTAAACTTGAATGAAAACAAAGGATCAAATATACATAAAATGCTGCCTATATAACTTGACTTAACCCAAGCATTTCCGCTGCATTATTGCTTCTTAATAGAAGTATTCATATCAGCACGTATCGGAGACTATATGCGCTGATACTGATATATCTGTGATAGGCCAATAAATCGGTCAGGCTCTTTTAATTACCTCTTGAAGACTTAGTTTACAATCATAGCTTAATATGTACTGGTGTTTGCTTGATGGATTGTTGTCACGTTTTCAAGGTATTACTCAATATCCGAATGCTCTGTATATTGAGTGTACATATTACTTAGGTCTGTTGTAGTTCTCTTGCCTTTTTACCTTCACTTTCTCTTATAACACGCAGATATGACCTTCTTGTGCACTCAGGCATGGGAGAGAAAAGGTCACCTATCACTGAAAGTATACAAGGCCACTTATAGGATT